TTGCTTGAACAGGCAGTAGTTCTTCACGAATCACTCTTTTCGAAATACGGTAGCTTAGTATGTAACGAAGTGGCAGCGGGTATTATTACGTAATTTAGAATTAAGCGTACAGATGCGTAGCTCTGGAGTTGCTTGACAGGGAATATGAGCTTCGTAAGTAAACCACCTTAACGTTCCGGTGACATCGAAACACAGTCGATGCTAAAAAAACAAAATAACACTGATAAAATCATACATAGGGCAAATATCATCAGCCGAACCCCCTAATTACAATTTTCAAACTTCCAACAAATAGCTATTGTGTTCATATATATGATTCTTGCAAATAGAGATTCGTTGATCAAAAGCTGCCGTCTAAGGGCATTCATTTTGTCCACCAAGTATACTATATATATCTCTTACTCTTCGTTCCAAGGGCTGTGTATTCAAAATTACTCTTTCAGGCAACGTACATCTCAGAATTTATAATCTTAGAAAATCGTACCCATTTGAATTGTTTTTAGTTAATATACAAAAATCAAGCCGGACGTGTATGCCTACAGAAACGATGGCTCTTTCTCTCTATCTAATGAGATCATAATTTTTCGTAGGAAATTCCGCATGTCTTTCCACCCGTTTTTTGATTTCTCCACAGTTACAGAGCTGTGTATGATCTAGACTAAATTGCATTAATTGGAACAGATGTATACTAATTAAGAACATATCTAGATATATTGTAGGTTACCAGTGAATGCCCCCTAACCCAGTTTTTCTGTTAATTAATATGCATTGGCCAAAATAAGTGGCGACGGTTGCAATGAATGATATCGTTTGCATGATATTATTAGTCACATGCTCCGTGCTTTATCAATAGCATTCAAAAGTTTCTGGCCTATTAGATCTTAACGCTTACGATAAACAACACCCTAAATAACCTACCAAATAAGGAAAATCATTAAAAATCTGGTTCTTAACTACCTGCATTAGCCGTGGCTACCTGCTTCGAAGTACCTACGACTACCTGCTTGAGACATCCTGGAGCATTACTGAGATATTCGTAATTCCCAAGCGTCACCATTGCATGAAATCATTCTTTAGCCTAGAATAAATTTCCTAGGTACCTGAAAGTGATCGACGAAATTTAGTTGCGCCTTTCCTAATGTTAAAATCACCACATGTTTTTACATTATTAATTTCTTCTTGAAAATGGTTTTCTAGGGACCCTCATGTAAGGGATTCGGTTCAAAGTCGTCCTTGTTGCAAGCAACGTACAAATAAGGACTGGTGGGATCTTGTTGCGTTGAATAATATTAATGTCTGCAAACGACGTGGGAAAGGTCCGACAGTGTCTCGTGTCGTATGTCATCAAAACCACTTATTATAAGTAAACAAATCCTTATATGTAACGGTTGAGGTAGAATGCCAAAATGAAGGCTAGCAAGGAACCCCTAAGCTTTCCGGATGACAGAAAGCCTATTATATCCAATTCGATAAAACGAGTTCCCCTATAGGCGATAGCACAGCTTGAAGTTTAGTCACCTGATTTTCTTTTTAATATATGAACGACGGGCCAACGCTGGGGTGAAGAATAGATTTCTTTGCTGAAGTAACACTCCGTCACGCCCTACGTTGAGTCGTGGTACGCGGCGGAAATAACTGTTGGTAATGTTACCAACATTGACGACACCGCTTAGCAGTTCGTTAAGTCCCTTGCGCACAATCGTTTATCTCGAAGATGTTTACTCAACACACGGTTGCTCATCGAAGAAATTTAACATTACAGTGTTTATTACAAACACCAAATTTCAATGAAATAACGGTGCACCAAAAAATCAGTACTGCACAGTATCACTCTTGTAAATGTGCATTTTCGGTCTACCTATTGCAAATAGACAAAGGCTTTAGTAAAAAAAAAACATCAGCCCCTGTAGCGTCGTGTGCTCTATGACAGATACAATACTTAGCTGTACTCGACTGCGTTCGACGCCGTTTGCGTACGCCTTGAGATCGGCCACACTCCCCTGAACGGTCAGCCCACTCTCTCCCCATTGTCTAGTTTGCTCTTCCTCTTTTCTTGCCATTAGCTGGTCCGCTGATCGCCCCTCCCCCTCGCGTGCGTTGAACGGTTAATTAAGATTGCCGCGAGAGCCGAAAACGGTGCAAATAGAGGCAAAAACAACCATTAAAAGGAGAGGTATCTTCAACATCCTGTCGATGCAGACGCTCGTAAAAAATGCGCGAGTGATAGAGAGTAGCATAAACTAGCCAAGTGCTTTTCGATATCCTGTCTGAGCAATAATAGCTTTGAACTTCTTTTCTCGTTCAATCCCGTTGATCCTTTCCTTGCCTCAAAATACTCTTTGATACATTAACGGACCTCTCGATCGTGGTGTAAATGTATGCGAAAGCCAAAACTCTAGACACATGACTCCTACGTGTAATACTTCTCTAGGAAAACTCCGAGATTTCTCTGTAAGGGTGTTTTCTCAGACTGGGCCAATTATCAATATTATTCGTTGGCTCTCAGAGTATTAGATTTTGGTCACCTGTTTTTCCGCAGATGTATTTTTTCGTTTATTATTTTTTAGCAGGCGAGTAAATAGATACCATCAAGACGCATTAACCCTTGAGTTCTAAGACAGCCGCCATGATAAAGGGTGAAGCGAGTTTACGACAAAGGCCATGTCATTCTTCTGCTAGAGGACTATTATTGTAGCACTTTTGTGTTGTATGGACCTCCATGCGCATAGTGTGAGGCGGAGATCTTTTGCTAAATACGTGTTCATCGTTAGTATTATTGGAAGTCGCATATATTTGACACATCAATGGGAAAATTCGGAAAATATACGCGTAGTATTTGCCGTTGGTACAGGCGGAAAAGCGACTGGCTTTATCGGAGACGGATCTCTAGTAAGCGATAATTCTGAAACTTCGTCACCCGCTGTGAACATGGCTCTGCGCATTACAGGACATAAAATAAAAAGAAAACAGGCACACAGGGACTGACAACCGGACCATATTAAAAAAAAACGTATGGCTTGTCTAATAGTTAGTTATTAATTAATAGTCGTTTAGATTATACGATTTCCTGTGCTCGACTTGCAACGATGTAGGGACTGGCTTTTAAACGCCATTATGAGACGGAAGTGCCTAATGTAAACAAGTCTAGCTAAACATTACAGGCACACGTGCTGCAACACAGATCGAAGGCTTATTAGGTTAGACTGTAAAAGGCACTGGCTAGTTGTGCCAGGTTGCCGAATGCTATTATTCTATGATGCTAGTAAAATTGAGGCCTCTGTCGTTCATGTACAGCCCCGTAATAGATCCTCAGACGATGATGGTGTCGTTACACTTAGCTGATTATTTAGGAGGTCGGTTCGACATCGGAAAGACAACATGGCAATACTTTGCCATTGTGTGAGCTGAAGAGATATAGAGACAATTTAATATCTGCAAGACGCTCTCGTAGTTGCTTGAAATACAGAACTATCTGTTCGATAGTTGCTTTTTGCAAACGAAATTTTCCTAATGGATTAATTCAACGATGCAGATCTTTATCGAAAGCGTGCTTCTTAATCAAAAAGCATCACACCATCGTAAATCATTGTGTGTTCATAACTTATCGCGGGGAAGGATTTTTATATTGACAATTGAAGACGAAGCGTACGCACCCTACTACTTTCACCTGTAGCCTACTCATAAAGTCACTACGTCAGAGCTGTGGTTTGTACGGCTAAACCTCGAGCAAAAAAGCCGCTGATCGCTGGTTTAGGTATCCCGTCGAGATATGTACACCGCAGTGCGTGTATGATGAAATAACAAAAAAAAAAAAAAAAATCAAGAACGTTTACTACACATTAATTTATTGGCGTCTTAGACTTTCCGAAGAGGAATGTCGACTCCATCGAAGTGGTGGCCTGGAAGACTAAGCCTTTGGTTGAACAAGGCCAAAGAGGAGAGGTTGTTGCGCTGCTAGATGACCCGTAAACACTTTGTGTGAATAATTTATTTTATATCGCCACTACTAGTAACCGACAATGATCTTGTCGATCAAATGAAACGCTTACTAATGTTTACATTTTAATGTAAACGTTTGTCAAGCTTTCGAGAGATACACATTCAATACACAGCATTTTTCTCTCAGTTCATGAAAATCAAGCTTGACAAATAACGTTCATAGATAAATGAGGGATGTCGTTTTCGTTCGAACGACGATAAAAAAAAAGGGTCCAGGTTGCCTTTGACGATATATTTATTATTCAGAGGTCGATATCGGAAACAGGTCCTAGGAAAACCGAAGGTCGGTTTCTTTTTATCAGTTGCACTGGTTCTTAATGTAAAGCATCCCTGCAAATTATCGCCATTGTATTGATAAAGGAACCGTGGAAAAATATTCTGCCGTTTTTTTTTTTTTTTTTAGTGTGAGTGTCAACACAACTTTCACTGCGTCTCGTAATTTATGTGGGTCGAAATTAGAACACCCTCCTCTATTTTTGGCATACACGTATCCCATTTTTATCTTTCTACACTTTGCCCTCATACGTGATGATGTGCTGTGATTAAGATTAGGTAAATTCCGCGAATGCTCTGCTGTGTGCTTCAAGGGTAGATGTAAACCCGCATGTTGGCAAGAGTTACCGCCAAATTCTAACTACTAATTTAAGTTCAACGTCGTATTTTTATCTCTAACAAGGCTGAAGTGCCCGTAAGAGTTGAGCGACGACTCGGTTTCTTTGAATTGTGTTATCCATTTTGATTATCGATCGAACGTTATACTGTTCACATTAATACCAAACGATAGCTTAACAATTTGAATACTTACAATGTATACAATAGATAACTGACAATCAATTGAGAGCGAGTCGTTGACTTATAGTAACCGTCCAAGCTTAGTCTAAATAAAACGGTTTTAAATAACTAATCATACTGAGTGTGAAATCTTGACCCAAATGGGCCAATCAAAATATTTTAGGGTAATTCTTACACAGTGTTACAACGGCCAACAATGTTAAACTCACCATTTTGCGTTGGATGGTGGTTCTCCCGGAGGGCAACCATGATCAATTTTCTCTCTGCGAAGACTTCTGTCTACCTTCGATATTTATTTTCACGTTGTTAAAACTATCTGATGATAAGTATAGCTAGAAGTTCCCCTGTTTCAGAAGCACTTTGTTAACGGTACTTAATAGCTACGAAAGGGAATGATTTTGTGTTGGTTTTCTACCATCGATGGCTCAGAACGCACGGTTTGATTAATTGGTGCATCGATTGGTTTGTTTGTACCGATATGAATATATTAAATATTATTGTACAGTACGCTTTTCTTTCACTATGACAACGTCTACACGTGTCCGATGCTGTCTAGTGCGATCTACACGAATAATTGATTGATTAAGCCATCAACGTCGGGTATCAGCAACGGGTAGTACCAACGACGTGTGCACGTAGGGACGTCCTCTGATACGGAAACACTTTTGAGTGTTGTTAGATCGCGTTTTTTCTCCGTGTCGTAGAAGCACGTTGAGAGCAGTATGCCTGCTGTGTGCGATCGATGCAAAATTGCGCTGGCCACAGCTTTCGTTTGGGAATAATGACGCGCCGTTCGCGAGGACATAGGAGGAACACCAAGAACTGACAACGAAGAGTTGCTAGGGGCGGTTTCTACACAGTTACTATTGCTGCTGCTGCTGCTACTGCTGCTGCTGTAGCTACCACTACGGGACTCCTCGACAGATGGCTGAACCGAAAAGGATTGCATCGGTGACGGATTCGAGCCAGCTCCGGTAAGTTTCAAGAGGCTCTCGGCTGCTCTAGTGGCGGTAGGAGCAACGCTGGTAGTCGGGCGACACTTTCCCCCAGCGTTTTCAAGAAGAGGTGCTCCCGAGTGCTGCTGATGCTGCTCCTGTAAACCCTCTCTGCTAGACGCCCTGGATAACTCCTAGATGATGCTGCTGGTGCTGCGGAAGACCACGATAGAAGTGGTGCCGGCGGCAGTAGTCTCAGCCCCTCCTGAAATGCCAACGGAACGTATAGAACTGAAACGACATAGACGATTGAACAAATACGGGACGCTGACTTGATCCATTGACCAGTCGGCTAGAGGGAAAGCAAAACAGTTACCGGTAGCAGCACAAAGTGGTTTAGCGGCGGTAAATGCCGCTATGAGCGTGGGTCTCACAATAATCCCAAAGGGAGATCTTGGTTGGTGTATGTGAGTCGTGTGCGGCGTATCTTAAACGACAGCTGCCGCTGCAGCGCGCTGCGTGATGATGATACGCTCTCACTGACCCCGGTGGTAGGCAAAGAGACGAAAAAGAAGTGCAAAAAATGACTGCATGACGCCGAAAGCGGGACCTACTGAGGGTGTTAGAAAAATCGAAGCGGATGCAGTGATGATGTTTCAATGACAAGAGCACCACCACTAGTAGTACGGCTAATCCATGTTTGTAAGCGACAAACAGCGTGTTTCGCTCTCTAACCCGTTCTTCAATCCTCCTGTTTGTTTTCCATCAAAATCATCATGTCCATTCATCTGCATAATAGTACTTTGGTCATATCGTAATATCTCAGTGTCCCATTCAATATGTCAATTGATCTACTACGATGAGGGTCAGAACGGCAATCCGAACTTACCAATAAGGTAACTAGCTGCTTTGACCCTACTTTGGGCGACAACATTGTTTCATTTGTAAACTGGAAACTTATGTAACGGTCGGCTTTGGACGTTGACTGAGATATAAACTAAAGTTTCAGATTGATGGACGGTGTACTGGAATGAAACTTTAGAGACAGGTAGTTCAGACGATGCAACCCGTCGCTGAAAAATTTTCACATAGAGGGAGAAGGAGATTATTTATTCCAGTTACGATCATACGACATGGCTCACAGCGTACAGCTTATGCCATTGGACAAAGTTATCAGAATAGTATTTCAACAAAACAATAAGCTCTGTGTCGTCGTTTTCTTTTCGGTTGATTGATTAGGTAAAGACGAGTTAGAGAGGGAAAAACCGTAGTAGTATATTCAGGCATTGTTCAAGGCCAAATACATTCACTATGTATTTCAACTACTAATTAGGCCTAGGTACTTCAACTATTAATTAACCCTAATATTTACAGTATGGCATAAGTCAGATCATGTAGGCAAATGTCATAATGAAAGGCCAGCTAAATGTTAAGGCCAACTGACTGACCCAATACGAAAAAAAAAAAACTTATAAATTGTCAGGATCGATCGTCATCTACAGAATTATTTGGTACGACTACATGTTAAAAGTTACATTGGATTTTCGCTTTTAGATTATCAGCGATAACTAGAGGATGTACCCGCTAATACACGGCCAAGCATTCACGATACTGAACCTGGAACATCCAAGAAGCCACATTGTAGATTTGCCGGCTGGATATTATGAAACACACATGGCCCTCTCCCGAAACTTATATTGTCTAGCCTAGAGCAGCTGCCTAAGATAGTGTTACTTTTTGTTCTCAGATGAACGGCAAGCATCGAATAAAAAATGCATCATACAAAGTGCATCAATGCTGCCTGTATCCCTGGATTGGTAGTACTGATCGAACGCCATCAAAACCTAGTATAATTGACAAGAAGTGCTTTTACTAGCGTTTTGTCGGCGACACCTGATGACTGCGGTTCTTCCCGCAAGGTTTTCCTTTCTTAAGGAGCCGGCGAGCTTCAGGACGGGCACTCAAGAGGATAACGATGCCGGCTTGACTTTTATGAGCGGCGACGAAGCGAGCGTAAATTGAGCCTCTCAGGTACACTTGATGTGTATGCTTTTAATACACAAACAAGAAATTCGAAGATACTTTTTTTCGGGTGATAGGCTAAGCATCTATGCATAGATCGTTAGGCATGACTAAGGCGTATTTCGTCATGCAGTTGGTGAACCATACCGATCAAATGAAATTGCAATTAAATGCTACATTCTGTATAATTTTCTTTTGAGGACTCATATAGTGCATTGACATGATAGTGATAAATAGGAACATTATCGTGATTTATGGCCTTGTCCCAATTTTTCCACAAGATCTTTGATCGAGTGTCGGAGTGCGTTCTTTTGTAGAGTAAATAATCATTATTGTATGAATTAGGAAATGGGTGAATTACTTCTAACTAGAAGTTCAGACAGAATCACCTCATACACAAGTTTAAGCCAGGTAATAGGTGCTTGTAACAAATGAAAAAAAATTAGGCTAACTTCGAATGGTCAGTTCAGTCTTTTGTTGTTTTTAGTAGAACAAATATCAAGTAACAAATTAGGTAGTGCACTTTGATTTCAGCGTTGTTTTTAACATGGCTTTGGGGAATACTCAAGAAGCACTTATCTAAGCTGTCTACGATGCAGATTTTGGGTCCATGACTTGGGTTTCGATAAGTCAAATAAAAATGAATATAAAATTCATGATAATGATGATAGTTGTTCTAGGAACTCTACAAAAGCTAACTGTCATCCCTATCGATCTGTCTCAGCTATGGGACTATTTATCATTCGGTAGTGTTAACCTATCTAAACCCGAACCGCATCACGAGATCGTGCGTTATTAATGGAATGGTCAGGGGCTATGCTTGGGGTTTAACTCGAATGGTTGGGGAGCCTAGGTTGTTCCACTTGACTTCTGTGTGCACGACTCAGTCGTATTTTATTGTGCATGTCAAGGTGCATGAGTCTTTAATAAGAAAATCTGTCTCTATTGTCTCAGAAGGAAGTCAGTGAAAACCCACTTCAGGGTCGATTCAATGCTAAACGTACCGACATTTCTTATGTACTGTCTCCTAGCCGCGGCCGATCGAATAGTTACCGTTTTTTAAAATTAGTTATAGATTTTTTTTATAAAGCTCGATAGCAATGTAAAAATGTTTAGATAAGTACCCTTCTAAAAAATTCGGAGAGATAATTAGTGAAGCTAGTGTTAAAACGGTTCAGTGGCCAACATTACTTGAGTTGCGTATACCTTCCTAACTTTATCCCTTGGGAATGGGCAAACTATTAGACTAAAAGAATACAATTCCAACAATGCAATAGAAAACATAATACAATATAGCGTGATGCAGTAATTTTCGATAATAAAAAAATGTCAGATTATTTCTATAGGCTATGACGTTTTTCTTGTTTTGTAATAACCACATCGTATTTTTGGTCTTAAGTGTTCATATAAAGAAAAGCATGCCTTTTCGAAATGCATTGTCAAAATATAAAACTCAACAAAAAAAAAAAGAGGTTTTCGCATTATTAAAAACATTTATGAGTAGCATCCAAAAATTATTATTATTACTATGAGGTGTTTCTTTCTTCAACACAAATTCTGTGAAGCAGCTTTGCTTCATTCATTAACTAGATTCTCGAGACCGAATCGTTTACGCTGCTCAAGAAAACTCAAAAGAAACACTTTTAGCATTTGTACTCAAGGAAGCACCAACTTAAAAAACATAATCGTCAGACACTGACGACAGACTTGTGAGCTTTTGCTTGGGATCTTGGATAAAACGGTTGGAGCCAAATAGAACTCCGCACAGATGGCCTCGAGCCGTTTTTCCAGAAGCGGAAAAGAGCGAGTGTATTTGTCCAAATTACGTCTCTATATCCTCACAAACTAACTGTCAACCTGTGAAAGTATGAACAATGCAGGTGTAATTCTCCTATGGGAAAAAACGTAAACTTACACCAATACTCACAGATACATAGGCCACCTTAGTGCTGCCCGGCTCGTCGTTGTGTATAACTTGTTCCGCATGATAAAACATGGATATACTCGCGGAAGTCCGAGTTAGTAGATCACATACTAAATAAACAATTTTATTCAGAGGTAAAACTATAACCAAATTTTCTTGAAGGACGTACTTCTCGTTAAAACTTTGTATTTCACTAGTACTTGTCAGAGTACGTATACTATCGCTAGCTTTCACTGGCAGGAGCACAAAGAGCGCCGCGCATTTGCATCGTTCCGCCAGCAATAACAATAGTGCCATTAAAAACCACTATCGGCTATCGCGAACATCGGTTTATAACATTGACCTGACGGCGACGACATCCACCGTCCCTCTATCTTACGGTTGTAATTGAGGATAGAAATATTCTTCAGGCTAAAATGCTTCATTTACTACTGTTCATCCTTCGACTATTCGAAGTTATTCGACGGTTTGTTATACATAACTAGATATATGAATGTACATTACTACAGATATGAAAGCCAACTAAATTATTCTCGTTATACAAACTTTTTCCTATCGTTTAAAAATTTTCTCATCGTTTTCGTTTGGAACAGGATTTCCCCTAAGGAAAGACAATTCTGTGCTTTCCTTTTTTATGTCTGGCGACTTATTAACCGATCGGCAAATAAACCAGTGACACCCGTTCCACTGTTAAGTTGATCCCATTTCTTAACAACAAAAATTACGTCGTGCAATTATCAGAAAAGTGTCGATGCGACCGTAGCTGAGATCAGGAGAGGTCAGTCATCAGGGAAAATTTTGTCATCTTCGAACAGACTTACATGTATGCGGATCTAAAGATGAATCTACTTGGGTGCACAGTAGCCCATCGTCAAGATGAAGCGAACTTGAGAGATAGAGCCCTTAACGTCGCATTGCATGCTATAGCAAATCGAAATTCTAATATTCACTGATAAGGCGTTAAAAGCTGGCTAGAAAGGCCGCGAACCCAAAGGACTAAGTTTACGGTACTCAGTTCACAACGATAACTGCTGTGCTCGTCGTCCTAGATAACTTTAAAGTTCCTGGCAAGAATACGCTAGCTGTTATTGAACCACGTGAAGCATAGCCGAACAAAATTTTGACTGTTCCTATTTAGTCTATTACGTCAGCAGGAATGAACTCGTTCGTGTGATGACCTACCTTGAGTAGAGCTAAAGCTTTTGGCTCTGAGCATAGGGTAACTTAGCTATTTTATTTATACCTAATAAACGCTATCGGAATAAAGTGAAGCAGGATGGCCTAAGTACAAAGTAGTTAGCTCCCAATACATTAGCCTCCTTTGGACCCTTACCGATTCTGCGCAAATTGAGTACCATGCTGCTAGCGATCCCATGTACAAGAGCTTTTTTATTAGATATTAATGTTAGTGCTACTATGTCAGACCGTTGCAGCCATTGACACGCACGGTACGAACTTCATGAATTTACCTCAGCGTAAATGTGTCACGTATGCATTTGACTCACCTTACACTATATGACTACTGATAAGGATATAATACGGCATTTGTTGATTCCTTACTTGGTCTCTAAAACTTTTCGACGGCTGTTTTTCCAACATCAGCCTTTGGGCATTCTGGCACTGACGAGAGTCCGGTCAATCCATCTTGTGCGACTGCTCATTAATACTGTTGGCAACACAACACATTCTATCATTATCAGAGCATGTATTAAGAAGACATTCGTCATTTCTCGATAACGTTGGCTGTTCTAGTGAAATCAGTGTCTTGTCTCCTCATTAGTACTATGCATTATGGACCGTCACAGCAGCCGCCAATTTAACAAGCGTAATTGACATATGGTAAGTGGGTCTATATGATCATTCTACAAAAGTATTTTATATAGCGATACTACCGAGGGACGCAAATTGATTTACGGCTTTTATGTATAAGTCGATTAGATACGCTGAGTTCTCCTCAGTTCTTTGTCATAGCTACAGCATAAACATGGCACATACAGTAGAATAGGTAACTCTATTATTATCACTAAAATCATCATCGTTATTATGGTAATAATATTTATTTTCATATAGAGGAAATTGCCCTTAGCGGCACGGTTGGTCTTTGGGAAGGGGCTTCTATTTGTCAAGTACGTATAATTACGTTAATACATGTACAATACGTAGGTGTAAAATTTTTCTGATCGGTTTCAAGGAGCGCAGTCCAACTGTTCACGCATACACCGATACCTGTTTTATTAGATTTCTCTACCTAGATCCGTGCTATCCATGACGAATAATCAAGAGACCTGTTGGGTGAAGAAGGAAGCCTTTCCCGAAGGTGTCAAGGTCGGCTAATTAAATAGACGGACAAACGGCAAACAAATGCAGCTCTTTTTCTATCCTGATTATGCGCACAGCCTACGAAACTCTTTTTTCGATGCCGGTAGTAGGAGGGCAAAGAATGAGATGTTATCACCCAGTTTTCATCGTATATTATAAAGTCGTGATATTGAACCAGTGTAAAGTTATGTATTCTAACTACGTACGGCCCTTAGAAAACCAAACGTATCTATGCATATGGCTTTCACCCTTTCATTAGATATCTAACTAGGTCCTCTTTGCTTTTGACTACAAATAAGTTACAGAGATATAACAGATGCGATCGTAACTGTTCGCAGTTGGAAAGATATTAACAAGATGTGTACGTGGGGACCCTGCAAGAGATTTGCTTCTGTACATGTCCACCCGGTACAATCGAATGCTGAAATAACGTGAGATAGTTAGTGTGGATAGCGTTAGAAATAGGCAGTTGTTTTTTAAGACGAACCCAAAGTTAGGGGATGCCGTATGTTCAACTACTGATAGCCTACCTTTCAAGTAATCAGTGAACAAATTTATGTCCGCGTTGAATATTTGCTAGCTTGTCGTATGTTATGGCTGTTAGTGAGATCTTTATCGCCATCGAAATCCTTCTGCGGTACCCCGCTTATGTGTCTTGAACGAACGAACGCTTACGATACACTAAAACTATTCTACAGATATCTAGCTATTGCCAGTCAGCATGAAGATGATGAAGTCCGCTAATCATTAACCAGCCAGCCAGCCAGCTAGTCTATTAATCAGCACTTAGTTAACGGTGGTCATCATCTGCTATTAGTGCTAGTTCAAGGCCAGTTTCGTATGCGTACGTTTTGCTACGGCCTATTTCCTTGACGGTACGCAAGTAACTGAATGAGGAAAACTGCGCTGTTTATCGTCGTTGTAGGAACGTTTTCGCGACAATGTACACTGCACACGTAGGCCGAGAATATATATAGTCGCCATCGAAGGGAACGGCACAGTTAAGATACTTTGTACCAATCTGCCTAATGTAAAGATGTTTCTTTGCAGATCCCACAAAGGCTTCACCTCTTGGCTTGTTTATACATTTAAAATCGATTAAAGCTTTTTAGACGTAGTCGATCAAATGATTTCCTTAGTTGCACAACGCGTACGACACCTTTTGTATCCCACTGATTTTCACTCCTGCAGCTATTACCGTCAGGGTTTCAAATTGTTCAGGCAGTAACTCTGATCTGATTTCCAATCGCCAACATGCAACCCAACAGCGCTCCGTGTTCATAAGTAAATGTCATTAAAAAGTCTATCCAGCACTTTAGTATCTCATGTTTGCTCATTATTTGAGATTGATTCCTTGTTACATAATATATTCCTATGGTGTATAAGCTTATCTTTAGAGAAATTTCCGTTAGCCTTTAAACGATAAGGCCTCAAACGTGAGACAACTGTGTGAAAATCGCTATGGTCGAAATAATGACAAAACGGTTCAGTGTGGCAGATATTAAAATTCTAATGATAAGTTCTTTAAATGGTCATTTTTGTAATTTCCAATTAGTAGCAAATCATTTATTTCCCAACTTCTAAACTTCCTCTCCATTTTACTGTTATACTGCTCTCCGCGTTTCAACTCCTTACGTCAACTTTTACAACGAGCACACTATAAATCCGCTAAAACACATATAACCTAGAATAAAAATTAACCTCAATCGACTTCAAGTCTTTTATTTTGACCTCTTTTTTACTCTCTCTCTTTAATCGTCACTATGTATAATGACGATTAAAGAGACAGTAAAAAAGATATATATATAGGTACCTTTATGAAGTTTATTAACCTAGGGTATGCCATAAATGACCGTATTTTTTTTTTGATTAATTGCGATTATTTATATATAGTGAATTAATTTTTTTTTTGTAATATGTCTAAGCAAATTCTTGAGGTGCTCGATGATAATTCATTAATTATGAAAGAAGAATATGTTTTCTCCTTTCCAGAATTTCCCATTATCCTATATCAGTGGATACTTCTATATAGTATACGTATCATCATATATATCATTGCTGTTGTATGTATATATATATGTATAACTTTATTCACATAGAATGTGTAACAGATATTTTATTATTTATATTTAATATATAATTATTCCATCGTTGTTGACGGCTGCTGGTAAATTTCGCGTCTCACAAACTGGCCGAATGCAACCGACCGCGATCGAACACATTAGCTTGTGTCATACTTTTTTAAATGGACGCACCTTTGTTAAATCGTTTTTAAAGCCTTTTTTTTTTACTAGGGTAATTTTACTACTCGCAGTCAGCTTGCCAAATAGTAAGATAATTCTTGTTGTGTAAAAAAATAAAATAAAAATCAACTAAATTTAATGTTAGCTGGCTAATGCTGCGACATGACTATTGAGACATAGTACCGTTAATACGGAATAAATGTAAACCGTAAGGTGCTCAAGCTAACACCACTTTACCTATTATTGCACGTATCGGAACAGACAATATGCGTGTGCCTGATAGCTCAGTCGAGACAAATCAATAGTATTTGTCAGCCATATTAATGAGGACACGCCAGTGATCCTCTGTGAATGAATGAATAAGTGTGACTGTGCTTTTATTTCATTTTTCCGTATTGTAACGTGTATAGTGTTTGTCGTGTAGGACAAGAGGAATAGCATGTGTGTGCGCGAGCAACTCCAAGGCCTACTTGGCGGAGGTGATAATGAGCACAAACTCTTGGTAGTTAATCTTGCCATCGCCGTCCAGATCGGCCTCTCGAATCATATCCTCAACATCATCGTCACTTAATTTCTCGCCGAGGTTGTTCATGACGACACTGAGCTCGTCCCGCGAGATGAATCCGTCACCGTCTCGATCGAACACACGGAACGCCTCCCGGAGTTCTTCCTCCGAGTCTGCCTCCTTCATCTTGCGAGACATCATCATCAAAAACTCGTTGAACTCGATTGTACCTACAAGAGTCCCCCAAAAACATAGAACAAATATATGTAGAAGATTTATCATTCTGACAACGACTAGAAACGATATTGTGAATAGGTATTATAACAGCTCAATGTATTTCATTAATATAGCAGGTCCCTTTCCCTCTTACCTTCCTTGTTTTTCTCGCTTCTATTTATAGACCATTTAAAATGCTTTCTGTCCTCTATAAGTAACTTATCATTACGCAGTAAAGAAGATTTTACCTTGCGTTTCAACTTCAAAGACGGATCTTCCTGGTGATAAAGGTGCTCCGAGTCTATTTGCTTTCAGCCGGCATTGACTAACTGCCGAAGCAGCCCGGCATTCATGTACCGTGTACAGCGGAAACTCTAGAACTAAGAGGAGGGCTCAAAAGACTTCGCTAAGTTCAAAAATGGAATTTTAAATTTAAAGGAGGTCTTCTTCCCTCCGAAATCGACCTGGATCTTCGATCGCAAACAACTCGTTAACTGACTTAGGGAGAAAGCTGCGTCTTAAATGTATGAAATTTTACTATAAATTATGAGCCTGGATGCGCAACCCATTGGGTAACGTGCATAAGAAAGCACGGTTTCTTAGTAATCCTCGACATTACGTGCGACGCCATGCAAGCACAATACGTTTCAATATAGAATTGTTACAGGTAACAAAGAGTGACACGTTTATGCAAAATGAAGAAAATCGTAATTTACATGCTATACTTGAGCCTTCGTGCATGGTTTTAGACGGGTGGCTCGTTACCCACTACGCCATCGGGGGAACATATGAAAGTAAGGAAAAAATGGGCAGTTTCGGAAAACATGTCTAGGTGAAGAGCTAGGTCAGATCTCCAGCTCAGAAAGAGGCAGAATTTGCACTTGATATTTATACACTAAAAAAATACGAAAAATGAGACGACCAACAATAATGTGCCCATGGTCTAGTGTTATTAATTGAATGAGGATGACTTCGCATATTTCAAGTCGTTTTGCAGGATCTTGAGTCGGAGCTTATTTGAATCTGCCTCGTGCAGAAAGATTACCACATTTCCCAATTACTGACAAATCGAATTCGTTTGACAGCGGAAAAAGTCGCAAAACAACGGACAAGTTAGCATCCAACTTGAACAGTTCTTGCGAAATAAATAACTTGGTTAAGAAATGGCGACGGCGAGTAAATAGTACATTTAATTATGGCCAGAGTCAATTTTTTTATTTAGGAAAAAGTTAATCAACTTCAAAATTTCTCTAACATGATGGCTTTGTCAGGCAGGTATCAGTTATATTGTAGATATATTTAGATAGATCAGACTGTGATATTACGCTTCGGGGTCAAATACTTGAGTCAATCGGACAGAACAGCTAAATCATTACGCTAATTTCGTCTGGTAAGACCAAAGCCATGCAGTATCTGCCATAGAGATCGCAGTGAAAGATCGATCACCAAGAGCCAGAGAATGGCTTCTGGCCTTTAGATAGGCGTTGTGAAGGTCCTAATTGATTTTGGATCAAGCGCGAGAGTGAAATAAGAGGCAAGAATTTTAAGAATATATACTGCCTCGGAAATTTCAAACAAAAGCATTACTTTAACACTTGTTTTGTGGACGTCTCTTTTTTCTACATGGATTATTCTAATAGTAACTGTTCCTTTAGATGATCCTAATCTTAATTACTCATAACTAATTTTACGTTATTTCAACTGCTTAGTTTTCAAGGGACTTATATAAGCCCGTAAACGGTTTATACCGTCGCAAGAAATCGGGACATCCAAACAGGTAAGTGCCCGTCATTCTGAATATATGATTTGATTGATCTTTACATCTCATTGGAAAGGTATAGATGGTCTATCGAGTGAACTTTTCAGGTGCCGTTATTTTTTTTTCTTTCTTTCGTGCAGTATTTTATTTCCGCTTATTACGGGACTGGAAAAGTATACGAATGAATCAACTCACTTTTTCCAGCAGCGTCCATCTTTGGCACAATATTAGTTTATTATTAAAAGTTATTAATCTGACACGTGTGCTAGCTTTCATTAACCGCTCCCGTATCAAATGTTTTTAACTTATTTTATGTAACTCTATGGGATAAACCTTGATCAGAATTAGTAGAAAGAGATAAGTCTTTTGTATGCATCATCGAATGACCATAAATGCATACTTCCTACTTAGTTTTATCATAGTTTTTCAGCGCGCAACAAACATAATTTTGTTACTGATTCAATTTGAGCACGAAGAAATTAGGCGCTTCTTTGCTATATTGTTGAAACGTAGCGCCAGTTTATAACTGTTGTATAAATATTTTTCAATTTCTTCAAGGGACGCTGCGGCCGGTATGTGCATAAGTGTCACAGTCTAGCAAGATGTTCCCGCTAGAATGCGCTTTAAAGCCCATCTTTTATATCGTCTACAATAAGCGCTATGCAACAAAGTTATAATACTAACCATTGCCGTCCTGGTCAACCATGGTAACCATTTTCTTGAGCTCTTGCTCCGTAGGTCGCTGGCCAAGCGATCGCATGACGACGCCTAGTTCGGCGGCCGTAATCATTCCATCGGCGTCCTTGTCAAACAAAAGAAAGGCCTCTTTAAATTCAGCCACCTGTTCCTCCGGCAGGCCAAATGTTTCCGTTGCCTACGAATGATGAATAAATAAGCCAATTGTAGCTGAAACTGATTACGGAATACTACATATGACTAACAGTTTCATAGACCTATCCTCAACAACCAAATATATAGTCAAATTTCCTCCTATCTTTCTTATTTTGTTTAATTTGGAGTTTCGTTATTATAAAATAATGCGGATCATTGCCTAAAGATGGTGAGAATTATTTCAGAGCGCATGCGCGTAGTTTATCTTTTACGTGACGAGAAAAATACCACTTTGTGGGACGAGTGTCATGGATAAAGGTTTGCTAACGAACACAGTGCGTACGTAACACTTTATTTTACAAAAGAAGAAAACAATTATTTGTTTTCAATTGAGGTAGTCGCAGCCATAGTACAGATTAGCTATTTAATCAGGCCAGTTACTAGCTAAGTAACTTATTCAGAGTTCAAAAATGTTTATGAAAAAGTGTCGTGTTGTTTAAGTCATGAACATTAAATGATGCCGTTTTTACTCAGGATCTCTCTAAACCGCTTCGAGCCATCGACGTACTCACCTCGGCACGCAACAGCCCACGGCGTTTGTGATTGTCACAATTAAATTAATTTTCCACATACGACTAATCGTTTAGTAGTTCGATCGTTTTGTAATTATCAAATAAACAGGCCATTTTGTTGTTTCACTTTGCCTACATGGCGTGGATTAGGCCGACCGAAATTACGTGGGGAAGCAAGGCTTTCTTTCAGCGACACTCGGACCTCGACAAGGTTGGGTGATTCGCAGCTGATCACAATCGCGCTTCCTCTGTCTGTACGCTATTTTACTCAACGAAGCCGTTTAGCACGGCCTATTCGATGTCTATCGAAATCTAAGAATGCTTCCATTTTATGAAATTGATCCTGTATGAATATGTCTGCCAGGTCATGCTTGCGGGTGCAAGTAGGCTATGTGTGCTGCCTGCTAATCCTGGGAACATGTTGTGGTGTAGGTGGTAGGCTTGAACCCGGGCACAGACACAGTTGGTTTCGTCCTGGGAGTTAGCCGTCCGATGGAATATCTTACGGCGATACCAGACGTAATGCTCGAAACATAAAAGTCTTGTGCGTTACTTAACGATGCGCATTCGGACGCAAAAGTTGATGTACTTATAGCATGTTGGTAAACGCTTCGCGGAGTTTTCCGAATCCGAGCTAATTCAGCTTTTCTTCTTCCTGTTTCTCCGTAAGTTTTAAAAAGTTCCATGTCGGCGACAGCGACCCTTACTCTGATACAAGCCACTGTCTGAAGTAGTAATTTCTTATATGCGCATATAATTAGTAATCAGATTAGTTATTCTTAGACAATCTGCGATGTAGATATACGTCGTCAACGAAATGTGCCGTAAATTATAAACAACCGTGCTTATATTTCAAAACGAAGCAGAGAAACGCGTACGCAAGTTAGCCTTATTCTCGCGTAGTCGTAAAGCCTAAAATGACATAATAAGCAGTAGCCGTTCTCAAGCGGCCGGGTACGTTCTTAAGCAGGCGTTTTCGTCGTGAAGACCTTCGATGCAAACGGTTCATCAGCTACAGAACATAGTTAAAGGCTTTCTTTGCTGATAAAACTCTAATATCATATAGCGTAACGGCCAGGCGACTTGGCTAGCGTCACGTATATTTTCCAGGTTTGGTCGAATTGGTTCATTGGCAATTCTATATTCGTTGAAGTATGCTTTGGATGACTTCTTTGCGCCATAGTAGAGCCATTATCATTGTTCATCGCTTGCTTCCTTGGTATAGTAAGCATAATTATAAGTTAATTGCGGGCATTCCTCCATTTCCAATGCTAGCCGTGGCCCACATCTGCTGATGTCCCCATACATTGACCCCAATCGTCGTCGAGACCAAATAAAAACCTTGGCTTTCATCTTTTTATAACACGACAGATGATTTACGTGACTCATGTGCAATCTACTCTTGGAAATAGATCTATATAATAAAAGAAGAGAACTGTGTCGCCTTAAGGATACTGGCTGCCTGGATTTGTTCTATGTTGTATTATACGGACAGGTGCGAATTGAGCAAAGATGTTTCTAAATTTAGACAAGCGCGCAAATTTTACTTCATTCATTTGATTTGCCCTTGGCAAAAAGAATTAGTATTTTGTTTTTAGTGTAAAGGTTCTACGCGTTGTTGCCTGTGGAAACGGAACGATATCCCGAGGTGTTCGCTTCCGAACCTATAGAGCAAAAAGCCGTCCGTTAAATAGCAGATACCAACATATCTGTGAACTGGACCGCCCCCTGTAATTGAGATTAAATTCTCGTGTAATACGCAGTCCGTTCCTTTAATTTCGGTATAATACAGGCTGGCCAAATTCACTATCGTTGAACACAGTTTTCTAACGAGAAATAAATTTAGCTCCCAAGCCAAGGGTCTCGCAATATATTACCTATTTCTAATAATCTTGTCGTGAACTAATTCACTATCGTTATTCTATATTAGAGCTCGATTATCTACATTGTTTGCTTCCGGCTCGTAAAGTTTGTGAAGAGTACGCCTCGTATAGTGAATTTACGCTAATGAACTTCAATTAATTATCTCGTGCATTTGAATCCGCCAAACGACTTCGCCAGTGATTTTGTTCCAATGCCGTACCACTGTCTCGTAACGTTTCAGTAACAGGGTTGGTCGAAGCTGCGCAGTAAAATTAATGAAATCACTCTGGAAACGAAAATTTGGCATAGCAAACATCCGCTGACAGACCTTGAAGGTTCGAACAAGAATAGGTTCGAATTCGCTCTCGTCATCCGCCCCTCTGTCATGAATTCGTGATGGTGCACGAGTGCAGAGCGACCTGCACTAATTCGAAATTGAGACGATTTATTCGCAGCTTTCTGCTGTGCACGTCAGCCAACCCAGAAAGAGTTGGGCTAATCTTTACACACGCACACAGTGCAGGAATCAAGTGTTGTTGATAAACGAGGCTCCGACTAATAACAACTGGGAGAGCGTGTATAAGAATTAACTAGTCCAGCTGGATCTGGATCGTACACCAAACGAACGGTTAGAATGGCTTCTTCCGATTGTGATTATAGAGAATTCTGCATAATTTGATATTACTAGTATTTCTTAGGTGCATCTACCTGGCCTACGTCCGTGCTTCGCAGAGCATTCTCGATACTACGAAGCGATCGTATTATCACGAAGTATAGATCTAATGGAAAAACAATTATGTGTAGCAAAATTACTTCGTCTAAAACAACATTGAAATACTATAAGCGTTCGCGATTCTTCCAACACTCAACAGATATTTGATAAGCCTATGACGAAACCCATAAGGAATAGTCACTGTAATAATAACAGAAGTCTTCGTCACTGAAAAACCTACAGGCCTGAAAAATTTTAGGAAGGTTATATATTTGTCCGATTGTAGAGGTCGAGCCATAATAACAAATCCTGCTGTGCTTCCATCACTAAGATAGGTAAGAGACTGACATCGATCAACTATAGTAGACCTTATGATAGCAGACATTTACCAAAGCAAGTTGCGACTGGCAGGTCAGCAGTCTTTTCTTCTAGGCTTCTTTGGACGTGCTAAATGTGCCGATTTTTGCCATATTGAATTGTAAAAGTTAATTATACTATTAGCAGTATCAAAAAATACGCTGTCCTTGAAGGAAAAGCATACGGCTCACAATGGATTTCTAGAAAAATACGTGATAAAGTTTTGCACTATTAGATGAATATTTTATTATTCTTATCTATATCAATATATAATACACTATATAAGAACTATTACTAGTATTAAGTAGTACAACTTAAAATCAGCCAGCTCTAACGATCCCTTCGGACTAGGAGGTTTATCATAATATTATTTAAGCATTTTGTCACAACGGCAAAGCTTTACTTTGCAAACAATACTAAAATGAACAAGAATAGCTGCCGGATATAGCTTATAATCCATACGCATCATCTGTGCATACGTAACGGCTTTATTAGATATAGTCTAAGTTCAATGCAGGACGAAAATCACATAATTTTGTTAGCGCATATAATCATGCTGTTTGTAGTGAAGTCTTGCTACAATAAACGAGTCCTATCGGTCCTAGGTGACGCATGGCCAATGCGTAACCCTATTGCCATCGTAACGAGAGGCATGCGCTCATTGCTGATTCATATTTCAGCCTTCGAAACTGATCACTGTGTATTTTCGTTTGTTAGGAAAATCCTAGATAGGTCCACCAAGGCTCGGTCCGATTAATTCTATCAGTGGGAACAATTTACTGATGCCAAATCAGAGGTGATTCTGAGCACTTGTGAACAAAACGAAAATAGCTGAAGACTTGAAAAATCGCTCACAACTTAGATTAGAAAACGGCTACAAAAGCGACAGCGCTTATTACGTGTTATAGAAGATATATATATAGTGCGCGTGAGTTGCATGTAAATATTTCGTCCTAGTCACACTAGTGGTTAGACGCGTCGTACTCTTGGCCTGACGTGAGTATTTCAGCAATCTTTCATGCAACGACTGTTACAAGATTTGTTTGGTGATAACGGATACAACAGCATTAGCTGGGGTTTTGAAAGGTGATGATCGGTATTTTCTTTCATTTGTAGCATACAAAGCTGTAGCAAATATTTGTGCCTCATTAGTCTTTTTGCAAGATATTTGCGTCGTTGGCCCTTATTTACGTAATTTACGTGATTGTTGTATTGAATGCTAAAGAAAATGAATAGATAACAAGTCTATCGTGCAGTTTTGCAAGCACTGCCCTTGGTAAGTTTTTTTTTTTTTTTTTTTTCATGAGTTCGGGTTCCAGTTATGCGCCCAGTTTTTGATCTCTCGGCCTGGGTGCCTCATAGCAATCAAGCAATTAGATACTGGGACTATTTGTAAACAAGGTTGCGTTGTTGGATATTGCAAGGCTGTTATTTAGATCATGAATTTACTTATGAGACACACCATGTTCAACCTGTCAAAACTTTATTTGACGACTATTAAAATCCAATACCTCAATAAATTGAAGTAACTTAATAAAT